TTTTTTTTTTTTTTTTTACCTACTAGAGAGTGTTGTGTTTTCGATTCCATCACCAGCGTGTAATATATTCGAAACTTAAAATCGATCGATACGATATCGGACAGAAGCCGAGCGAAAGAGTTGTGGACCAGTCCATCGAATCAATTACCATTGGAATACTATTATTATAGTAGTGGTGCGCACGTGGGCGGCGGTGGGGCACAAAGCTATCGGCCACTGCCGATCTCGATGGGACTCGCGCATGTCACTGTCACGATTCGTTTTATTATTATTTTGTTGCTGTAGTTTGTATGGTAGTTTCGTGAAAAGAGAGGCATAGACCGAGAAAAGGAGAGAAGGCGGAGAAGCGTCGTTTCTGATTTAGTAGTGTGGCTATACTGACGCATATTGTATATTTTGAAGTGGGTGTGTTATATGCAGGCAAAGCTGCTGCTAATTACAAGGCACTTTGGTACGTATTGTAAACGGTCGTGTCATTCCAGTGGAACGCTGAGATGTATAATGTATATAAATGTACATTTCCTATATATAACCGCGTTATCGGAGCCATACATCTCGCTTGTGCCGCATATAAGTGTAATAATGGTCCGCCGAGACGGGTGTTACCAACGAGTTGCCCGTTGTGTTGTGCTCTTGCATTTTCCGGTCCGGTTTGAAAATATTTACAGGCTATCGAAAAAACCGTAAGGTTACAACTGTGAAATGGTAGGGTAGCGTACGAACGGGGTTGAAACGATTGCCTTTTAGACGGACGTCAAAACCAAAAACGTGCCTCTCGTTTGCGTTTTAATTCCGCCTGCCAGAAATTTGTGTTTTAATAATTAACTGGCTCTTTCTCCGGCTTTGAACTTTTACCCTCTATAGGAAAACAAATTAATAATCTTATTTGAAATGTAGAAATATTCGGTTTCCGAGACCATGTGCGTGAAAACAAAATTGCTTGGAGCGGTGCAGAAGAAACTTTCTTCGTAAGTCGCACTCGAAGTATTTACCAAATCGAATGGCACGTCTTTTAAAACTATAGGCTAAGAATGAATGACGTTGATCAATACCAATCCGTTATGGCTACAAAAGTTTATCTGAACCGCAGAACGAACCTTAAATGGAACGTTAAATCTGATTTTGTGAACTCGGCATCCGTTGAACGCAAGTTATTTACTAAAATCTAAAGAGCTATCAGAAAAATTGGACTTGCAAACACATTTACCTGCGTACCGTCCGTTTTGTGGTAGAGTCGACGATGTCTTAAGGAGCATTTCGCAAACGTTGATTTACCACTTTAAGTTTCCTCGTCATGTTCACACGGATCGGTTTAGTAGCTTGTAGCGGTAGTCTGTCTGTCGATTAATTTAATATTAAATTTTCCCTCACTTCTTGCCCAGCGTCTGTCTTACCCCACTTGGAATCGCAGATTTCATTTCAATTAACATGGTCTCGGGTCCGGAACGCCGAGTTTAATATTATAATAGTAAGGAGTTTTGCTACACATGCACACAGGATACGTGTGTATTAATAATCATAACTCAAAACGGAAAAGCCCCCAAAGGGTTTTTGGCAACGGGACCGCGCCGTGTAGGAGTGACGGCGAGTGCGGCGGCAGCGGTAAAAGACGTTTCGCTCCAGAAATCTTATACTTATTTATTCGACCCTATTGCAGTGCGAAGCAAAAGTTTAAAATCCTTCCTAGCCCTTGTAAAGCCTCCGGGATAGTTTCTCAGCATATTAATGTTTCACCGTGCCAACTGAATCGGATTTCGATGATGCGTCGTGTTGCCGCTCACCATTTTCTATATCAACAACTACAGCATCAGAAACAACAAAAACAACCCTTTCCCCGACAAATTAACATGATGGGGTGACAGTTGTTGTGCGCTGTAACACTTTTTCAGTAGTCTACTTGAAATGTAAACAGCAGTATGGTGTGTCTTATTCGAATCGGATGAATCTTACAATGTTGTTATTATTGCGCCTTTGGCTAACAAATACATCCGCAAGGAATTCAGTGAATTTATAATGAAACGGATTTTGAAAAAAAATAATAGTAAAATATCCAGACGGAAATTATCATAATAATTATTGAGAAGTATGCCATTGATTGTGTAACGTCGGATTAATAAAAAGAAAAATCATTACACAAAAAAAAACGAAAACGCCACAAGAATGATAAGGGGTGTATTTAAATTTTAATCAAAACATCCGATCGAATCAATAAAGTCGCGGCGGGAATGAAAGGAAACATCCCAAAGACAAACAGGAGTTTTAATATGCGGACGCTCGGGCGCTATCCTATACGGCCGACATTCTTTATCGTACGCATTTTAATACTTTACAAAGAACGGATTAGAATATTGTATACATGTACGATTGTCGGACTAATGAAAATTCACCCCACTTGTACGAGGGTTTTGTAGAAATCAAAGTAAAATGAACGAGAATTAATTTGTGTCGGGTCTTTTTCCTTTTTATTTACCTTCTGCAAAATGCACTGCTCTATTGCAGATAAGAATAAACGTTTAATAAAATCTACCATAACGCACAATTGATTGTCTTACTGGCACATAATTAATGATTCGAGTGTGCCTAATACGTGTTTTAGCCTTATAATTTTGGTTGCCTTGTGTTTTTAACCGAATCAACACATCTCTTGATTACTATCCGTCACATCAGGTTGACTCGTCTGACTACTATTAATCATTAAAGGTGGAAACGATATTTTTATACATCCCATATCATTTACGATACACCAGACAGCACACGCGCTTATTGATAACACGCAGATGTACGGGTTGGTATTTAGTATCTTCTCAGTAGGCATTGAGAATCACTATTTAAACTAGTTATGAATATCGCTGACTAACAGTTTGAATAACCGGTTTAGAATTTACATATAACTATTGATTGAACATCAGAATTTTCGATTATAAGTAGCTCTTAAAGATATCAATTAGGTTCATGAACTCGTCTACCAGTCACAAATATTTTATTATAAAAAGTTCAATGTCGTTACGATGACTTTCGCAGAATCCAACAGGTCTTGCGTGTGCCTCGGAAGTTTCATTTAAATAATCGTTAGCTTTTGTCGTTTATCAACGATATGGTGTAGCTGTCCACATACATGAATTAAAAGCATAATACACCATTCATATTATACTATTCTGACTTAACCGGAAGCCCTGGTGTTTTTTACACGGAGACATGGCGTATTGCGTGACGTACAACGTCAACAATAATTAAATACGCATCACTTTTTAAATGTTAAAAATGCCTTTGCGCTCCAGACACAATAATTTATTTGCTGCAGTCATCGTCACACGCGGCTTTGGTGCCCGGCAAATTTTGCCAACAGACACCTACACACTATTTACATTCATGTAATAACTGCGCTGACAATTGTGATCACGCGACGAATTGTCTTGGTCGGGACACATCTCCCGAAGGAAAAACTCAACGTTCGTTCAGACTTTGCGTGCTTCTTCCCCTACGGGAGGCCGACAACGGCATCGGACAACAGCGTGGTTGGGATTTATACGGACTTTTGTAAACGAATCGTTGACTGTAAAAAAACAAGAGCATGGCGTTCGTGTGCTATGCAGAGGGACACGGCGACACTTATTAAACAATATTTTTTGATGGTGGGCGCAGATGGGATCGGAAATTAGTTACTTTCGTTTTTTTTTTTTTGCAGGCTTCCCGTTATTATTATTATTATTAGTTATTACGGTTTACGATTATTATTATTATATTTGTAACATTCAAATGTCTTTTACGATATGACCGCATAGTGAAATAACATTATAATACCCTCTGTCGAGTTTATTGAGTAAAGCCCTCGAAATATGCAGATGTACACCAAGACGTTAAAAGCTTTCCCTCATTAAAACGCACGGAAAGGTCTTTTTCGCTTTTCCCCGCTAATGTCTTAATCGCCGTCCGCCCTAACCGGAATCCCGAAATGTTTTATTTATGTGTGTGTTGTTCGTATTACTGTTGCTAATGGAAAACGGCTATGGAATAAAAATTATATTATTGTCATGTCTTGCAGGGCTAATGATGAACGGGTGGGAGACATTAATCGAGCGTTGAGCTATGATCAGAAAGTCAGGGATATGAATTCGCAAAATGGTATTTATATTTTGATTTTTAAATTATTTCAATACAATTATGTTACTATTCATTAAAAATTATAAATCTAGGCTCGTCAGAAGGCCACAGTCCAGTATTGAATCTCTCTAAAACTGGTGGAGATCATTCAGGTCCAGCTAGCGATCACTCCGCTGGCGGACATACTAATGGCGACGATGAAGACGACTTGGACGAAGACGATGACAACATTTCTGATGGCGAAGAGGACGACATTAAAGATCATGGTAATTCTAATTTTGTTCTAATTTTTTTTTCATTACACGGTATATTGAGGTAAAATTTACACGAGTATAATTTTTACTCGACTCTTTTGCGTTAACAGACTTAAGTGACAATCCTGATGTAGGAGGAAACAGTAGTGCTCACGGTAGCATTACGCCACCACCTCAAACGTTGAACTTTGGTTCTACCGGTTCTGTTGACATGGGTTTGTCATACATGACAACCGAGTCGCTTCTTCGTAAAATTCAGGCATTACTTAAAGCAGCCGCTGACAAGATTCGAGATGACGACCGCGCGTTAAACTTTGAAAAAGGTGAGGATTATTTATGTTATTCTACACAAAAAAATAACGATATACTAGGGATCTATATGTATGACGTTTTCGTGCAATAAANTACTAGGGATCTATATGTATGACGTTTTCGTGCAATAAAGGTGTTCTACCCTTAAGCTATAGACGGTACCAATTTCAGTTCAAAAATAATACTCATAACTCAAAGTGTCTGCCAACACAATATCATTACACTTATTTGACCGCATTTAACGTCGGGCCACCGTCTGTTCAAAACCACAATAGTACTAATTTTTTAAACTAGTATTTATAGAATAAATATTGATTTATTTTAGTATTTATCTACGTGTTCCGTCTTAAACATATTATTAGACGATCTAAAAAAAAAAATTGTATTACTTTATTTTAGAAATTTTCAATTAATAAAAAAAAAAAAACCCACTCTTTTCTCGTTTGGTTTATATCCTAATGTATAACGTTTAACCATTTAAAAGTGAAACTGAAGTAATAATTTATTTGAACGCGAGAGAATTAAATGATATTTTTAAACATAAAAACAATCGCATATTTCGTGTTGGACTGGTTTCGTTTTTCTATACTAGTCACGCCTGTTAAAATCTGCTAGTTTTCTGTTTTATAATTAAATACGAGCCAGTGATATGTACCAGCTAATTTAATATGTTGCAATGAGGTTCTGACTGATACGGTTCAGCTTGGTGTTTTTAATTGATCCAACTAGTTAATATCTAACTTGTTAGCTATAAATTCAAAATGAGTATTCATGACAGTCGCCGCAGAATGACTGTTAAGTAAACTCCGCCTTAGATTCGAGTGATTTCTCGTCGTGTACAGGATAGAAATGAAAATGTACACGAATAAATAATAAAAAGAAACAATTTCACCGATTATAAATTATATTAATTCTATATTGTTCGTTTGTAATATTGGTGGTTGGTGGTGTGGCATGTGTGTACACGCACGTTATTTCAATATGTAATTGGCCTATGAACAGCCTCGTGTACCGCTTTAATTCTCATCACGAACTGACCTTTACGTCGTGTTCCCTTCAAAATACTCTCCGCCGTAATGGATCACATTTGTGTTGGTGTATATGTACAAATTATCGTTATGAAAAACGACCGTTTTCATTAAATTACACACACACGGAATTAAAATACCAAAAACCGACAGACGTTTATGTGAACGGAAAGACACTTGTAGTGCAGGTACCACCTGCGTGTGTGATTTTTTTGACTATTTCATTTATACACTTGTATATAATTCTCGTTTTGGTAATTTGTTTTCTGTTACTCGTGTAATGTTCATGGTGTGTCTGTATAAATATAATTTCGTATATGAAGTTAAACACGACGATGACGACGACGATTCCCTTCAATCAATTCGGCCGAAACATATACTTAACCACAACAGTCCCATTTCATTTTGTCGGGCAACGCCCACCGTTTTCGTGGTCTTCAAACAGACACACGCGCTCAGACAGAAGACGAAGAAGAGAGCGCCGTTCGGTGTTATTCTCTTCACCAAATGCCATTTAATAACAATTCGGTGTGATTGCTCTTCTTAGTGGATACCCCGGGCACAGAAATTACCTCGTCGTCGAAAACCAATGCGCTCCGGGCTTATCCGAAGAAATAAGGGCCCATTATCTCGTAAACGGACTAAATCTTCTTCATATATCACACCAACAGAGTTTATATAATATCGATGTTACCTCCGAGCCAACAGCGTGCGTCTCGAAAAAAATATTGTTTTATTGAAGTGAGAGAAAAAAGGATATCTGAAATGGTTATTTTATGTTCTTGTGTATTTTTGCAATGAGATCTAGGTGTCCGAATTAATAGACAGTACTCGTACATGCAACTTACCAGAAAAGTATATGGTGAACACCGATAGTCACTTAAAATAGTTCATGTATTCTGTGTCCTTGTATATATTTAGCACCATAGTTTCTTCATATCGTGATTCTCACTCGTGTACCTCCCACGAAGTTGTTTTTTGTATACACATAACACCTTTCTACCGTGTATGTTGCTGTCCGACCGAGTCCAAATAAATATCGGCGTACTTGCATCTTATCCATTGTACAGTAGGATTTAACACTACCCACTTATTATGATAGTTTATTCAATAAATACACGATATTAAATTATAAATTAGTTTTGACATATTAATATAACAAAAATAAAATTTTATTAATAATAACTTCATCTAAGATAAATCTCTCTAAATATTTGCCCGAAAATGAGTCTTGGCAAATATTATCATGTTCGCAATATTAAATGCGTTAAGGGAAATCATTTTTTTTTTAATTTTAACTTTCTTACTGAGGTTCTTCTCTACTGGAAGCTGAGAAGCTATTCAAAACGCTTCCGATTTTAAGTTGTGTTTCGTTCGAATGTTGTATTAGTATATGTATATAAATTTATACGCTCGTGTATATTGTATGTACACAATGCCGCATCGAGTGGGTTATACAAGGAAACAGCCTTGGGCCACTAACTGACACGACCCTCGAAAACGGGATTAACACACAATATTGTATCCAAAAACTCATACACATATGACATGTACGATATGCGTGTATTAATATCTGACATTGTTACAGCAAAGTAAATATATAAACATTTTTTGTTTTGTTTTACAGCCGAGTTGAAAATGGACGTGCTCAGAGAAAGGGAAGTAAAAGGAAGCTTAGAACGACAGTTGGTCGACGCTCAAAAACTGCGAGGTAAGTACATTGACTGCAATGTTTTTGTATACTTAATGTACTTGAAATCTCATTTTACTCGTCGTCACCCTTTTTTACCATTTGATTTTTTATCCAGCTAGTTGAATAAGTTTCCACTGCATTGCACTACCCTGTCTGTATGGTCGGTGGTGGTGTGCGGTTACTTATTATTTTTTTTCCCCAATACCACTGAAATTCATTGAGGGTGGTCAGAATTGGAATCGTCGTACAACAATATAATTCGAGTATCCTGTTAAGGATAAGGTTTCATGTACGCTAATTCATATCATGCAGGTATTCGATGAACCTTGACTTGACTGACCGTGTATACATTTGACACTCAAAAAACTTAATTTCCACTTGCATGCAATGGTATATTATTTACAATAATATGTTCACTTACTCTTTAAGAGTAATATAATATCTCATAATGTTAGTTTTATAATAATAATAATAATAAACACGATATTATATTACAAAACAATAGGTGTGGGGGTGCTGTTCGTGGGCATTAGCATAAAACAAAATTCAACGGGATGGAGTTGAGTAATTCTCACACAGCGGATTTCCGAATCGTTTGACAGAGTTAGTACACATACTTTGTAAACGAATACTTTTCCTTATATTGACCAGTCCATTTAGTGTATTGCGATTGAAATATCGGATGTCGAGGTCGGTCAAGTATACGAATGCGATTTTCCTTCCACCTGCAAAATTCTTTTACTGTAACTCGATTCGCCTACTTTAGAGAACCTTTTAGAAATCTAATAGTTTTTACATTCTTTGTCAAAAACTTTATGGCATACGTAGGTACGTTAATCACAAGCTTACGAGTTCACATCACTCATTCTGTCAATTGCAGATCAATTTCGTTATTAATCTTTAATTATTACCGTAATATTTATTCCTTTAGTATCGGTAGTTTTTATAATGTTACATATCTAAGGTTCGAGTTGGCAAACAGTAATGCGTTGTTCAATAGTTGAGTGCTGTGGCAGTAGCAAGGGATTCGTTAAAGAAACAGTCGAGTGGATGATAATCTTTTCCGTCGTCGGATTTTAAACACTAATTAGATCCCAAAGGGCGGCAGTGGTAGCAGCAATGCGCATAAATCACTCACTACTGATTGGACAATTGACAAGGACATGGTTGTTGATTGGCAACACCGTAACACTAACGAGCTTCGAAACATTAATCTCTTATTCTTAAAGTCTCTTATTATTTCTTATTATTAGAATATGACTGCATAGAAGTTAAAACCCAACACTAGTGTTTTGTGAACTTTAAGAATCATAAAGAATATGTAAATCTCATATCTTAATGTAAAAGCACGAAATATTTGGGGTATGAAATGTCAAGAATATTTGAGTCGTTTATGTTTTTGAGTGACCTTTAAAGTATAGTCCACTAACGAAAGTCGCATTTTTCCTACGACTCGGTCAAAATTGATATTTTTTCGGTATAAATATTAATTTCAAGTAATAATGTAATTTTTGCTAGTACACTTATTTAATATATATCCCGTTGCTAAAAACTAAGAATTATAATTGACTATTCAAAAAAATTGTAAAAAAAAAAAAAAAAAACAGTAGGTTTTTTATGACGAAAATTCTAGATGACTTTTTGTTTTAACGGTTGTGGTGCCATACAGTTTTATAAGTAAATGTTCTACAAAGCGCAACACAAACCTTACATTTTAGAACAATCACTGTCTACTTAATAATAATACTACTACTTACTTTCTTTTCTTATATGTTACTTCATATTACAATCAGTCGTCTGACATTTGCAAAGGTCATTTCCGCTCCGAGTTTCAGACCGTAAAGTTTTCCTTTTCCATTGCTCCGTTTCTTTGTGTAAATACCAAGGCTCGCCATTGGATTATTAGTAATTAACTCTTGTTGACGGTCATAGTTGGGTGTGTACAGAACACTATACATCGATATTATTATTTTGTATATGGTGTGCGAGAAAACAATTATATTTTGAAACGCAATTCGAGGGTGGGTATATGAGCGTTTTTTAGGGAGCTAGAAGTGGAGATCAAAAAGAAAAGATATGAAAACGTTTTAATAATAATACAGGCCCAATTTTTAACCCTTTCGTCTTCCCCGTAATTAACTGACAAGACAATACAGGGTAAAAATATGAAAACCGACGTTCATGTTATATTAGTGCTACAGCCGTGTGCACAATAACTATCTTTTTTTGTTCTTTTGCCAGCGGAATGCAATAAATGTAATTAAAGTGTCCCTCTCTTCTATTAAACTTTTTATGTTATTTTTATTAAAAGCCATGTCTAATTTATTATTTTTGATTAAAACGTTAAAAAAAAAAAATAGTGAATTCCACTTCCTTTTTTTTATACTTCATCGATAATTATAGTTATTTCTACATGTATAAAAAATAGCAATAGTTGAAAAAATGAATACAATATGAAAAAACTGTTATTATTAAAAAATTTTATTGCTTTTATTGTGTACACATATTTTTTTATTTGTGATGTTAATGGCATAACATAATATTGTTGTTTAATCGTATTGATTTTGTGTACTTTTCATTATAATTAACACCGGTGGTGATTTACAAGTCGGGGCGCAGTGTCGTCAGGGTGCAGTGTATAGTTTCACAAGCGTTTCCGGTCTACCGCGTGACATCTAAAAATCCGCTTCCGTTCGCGAGTCACGTACACGTTGAACGGTACTACCGCTGTCTTGTACTTTTAATGCCGCCCGTCGGTTCGACCGAGAAAGTTTATATTACCATTGGAGACTTAACTGCCGCAAATATTCAAACATGAATCATCATTACGGAAGCCGGCACGCACAGTGCATCATAAGTCGGCGAAACATCAGTGCCCGTTATTATATTATTATAGTAATAATATAATAACATCCCGTCGAAATGGCATTTATATGGGATGGGTTTTGGATAAAAAAATATTATAATGTTGAGGATTTCTTTATTGCACAGTAATCCCGATGAGATTTTACTTTGCGGCATTCCGTATAGGCAATCAACTTTACTCTGGAGCGCTACTAGACGCCATACCCTCCTAATGACAACAATCGTAGCGCGACCGGGTGAACTCATAAAAGAGCAATCCGACTCTCCTCTCGTGACGCCTTTTGATGTCAGTACCACGGGGCGTACTGTGTTGTCGCTTGCACACGCCGAGAGGTCGAATTGGGACAGTCGCTGTGGTCACTAATATAAACCTTTGGCCGTTTTGTGTTTCAAAATGCCTATGTGTTGGCCACGGGTCTTTTGTCACCTCGGACTGTAGGCGAAATTGTCAACCGGGATTTAATAATAATGCAATTTTAATCGAAGGCGAATGGTCTACATCAAAAGCCCCGCCGGTCGTTTCTTTGTGATCATTTCATGGATGCAAAATCACTCCCCCACTTCATGTCTGGGGTGTTAAATATTCATGGAGTTCTGACAAAATCGAATTTACTCTGTGGACCCGCCGGTTTTTTTTTTTTTGACGTGCTCAACCGACTATTATATAGTTCACCGTCGCACTGAAAACCGATTAACATTTAGAAAACACTATTCTCTAGCGTTATAAAATTGTTTATTATTAAATTTACTAATGGGTTTTTAGATATGGTAATTTACAAAGAATTTGTTTTTTCCTCGTATTCAAATGCCTTTACACCGTTATTTTGATATCATAAGTGGTTACTGTCAAACAATATTGGGCATTTTCTCGATTCGGATCACACGTCTCTGATGGCGGCTAAGTAAGGAAGGATAAATATTGTTGGCGGTGGTCGTTATTGCCTTTCGAACACTTAAGCATCATCTCGGGGATTTTAATGCGCTACTTCCTAAGTAAAGCGCTTCGCATAAATAAGCATTATAAAATAATTCCAGAACCGTTTCTCCCGTAGGCGACCAGTAACTGTGAAGAACGGGGGAGAGAGAAGAATCCTCTTATATGGAAATATAAATTATTAAACTTATGCCATCGCTGTGTGACCATTTTATGGATGGACAAAAAGGGCGACCGTCATAAAAGCGCGCACACATACACTATGTAATAATAATATGATCTCAGTTTTATTGTTTTCTCTGCCTCTTCTGTTTATCCCCTTTTGTTGCGCTCATTAATTCCCGCAGAAAGTCTTGTTTACATAGGCCAAGTACACCCGAAAACACTTTGGACCTGGCATCCCTTTGGCGTCTTCAACCCTATCCTGACAGCGTAATGTTTATTGCTGGACCTTAGGACGAATTCCGCTGTGATATCAATGCCATTCCAATCTTTCACAAAAGAACACCGATAGCCTTAAACATTAATACAGTACAGATTATAGCAATATTAGTACAAATCTGATGATTTTTACACAAAAGTTTTAATTGTTTTTTTATCCATAGTAATACACTATACAAGCATTGCTGTTTTAGAATTACTTATTGTACTGTATATATATATATATGTAGTTTATAAGAGCGTTTTCGCTTAAAAAGTCGAGCAAGTTTGAGCTGATCGTAAATTGTCCGAATGAATACAATCCCTTGAGATGTTCTAAACGTTTACCTTTGATCTGTCGCTATTAAAATTCGAAGGGTCCACTCATTATTGTGTTGTTCCCCTTTTGGCCGGCACACAAATTGGATTCTTTCGTCCGTCCCTCGACTGATCGCTGCCCGCTCGGGCTTACAGTAAAAAAGGTATTTCGGTATTCTCAAGGAAAAATATTGTTTTTTTATGTGTGCTGTGTAAAAGAAAAAAAGATGGAAAATATACAGCCCATAGTTACAAATGATCAAGAGAAAATTCATTCCAGTGTCCGAATATTTTTATTTTATTTTTTGCTGTGCCAACCCTCGCCCTAAAATTGAAAAATACAACGAGCAATCGTAAAGTTTATCATCCGACAGCGAAAAATCCACAACTATTTTACGATCCCAATAAACGATGGTCCGACGACGGAGAAATAATTAAATTCCGGTAGCTGCCGAGATGAATCAAATGGACGAGGCAGTTT